GCGCGCGGAGGAGCGAAGGGCGGGCGGGGAGGCTCCCCTCCACCCGCCGCTCCTCCGCGCCCGCCCCCACCACCGCTCTCTGTATCCGGTTTTGTTCTTCTTAGTTCCGGGCAGCGCTCCATTGAAATACCCTATTCCAAGGCGCTAGCTCAGCTCAATTCGTTCTCGAGTCATCGTGATGACAGACAGACACACACACAGACAGACGCGAAACTTTTTGATCGTCACTGGAGTAATAGGCAATACATTGGTAATTACAAACTAGGTAGATGTTCGCCAGACCACGTCTCGCGTTACAGGCTTCGCGATATCTCACGGAACATTGTTGCGCTGCAACGCGCCTGGCATACATCTACCTAGGTCTGCGGCGCTGATACCCGAGTCGGGAAGCGCAAAAATTTACACAAGGGTACAGTCGCCTCACTATAAGGAGTAACCTGGCGGAGCGATAGCTGTACGCAAAAATTCTTATTAAAGTGTCTAAACGTAACTGTCTTGTAACAGGAATCATCCAGTGCTAAACGATAAAGTTTGGTCCATTATTTAGTATTTAGTTTTCAGCCGTGCGATAGTTAGACTAGAAGTTAGCTCATCACGATGGTAGGGACTATTTTCTTAACGCGCAATGTTCAAGTTACTTCTTATAGTGAGGCGACTGTACGGGCCTTCGGCCCGTCAACTTCCCGTCACTTCGACTAAGAATGCAGGGTTGTACATATTTTCGCTTATTTTCGTCAAAAACTCCCTGTGGCGCCTAAATGGTTGAAGATAGATCTAAACGGACGAAATTTTCGTCCAAAGAGATCTACTTTGATGAGGTACCCCTTAGAAAACTGTAAAAAAATATTTTTGAAATCATTATTTGTGGGACCTGTGTTTTTTTTTTTTTAATCCAACTTTTGAGCTAGAATGCCCTTTTTCGAACTTGGTCTGTCTTTTTATGACACAAAACGACCCTAAAAATCACAGGTCGATAGCTCAATTCGTTCTCGAGTTATCGTGACGACAGACAAACACACACACACACAAACAGACACGAAACTTTTTGATCATCGCTAATCGCTCAGCCAATAACCAATGGCGACTTGCTTGGAGTGCAGCGCCACGCCGCCCAAAGCGTAAAATGTTCGAAGTAGGGGCCCGTATTCTCATATATTCCGATCTCGTTCGTCCGAGTCTTTGCTCGGATTTTCGTGGAAAGTGGTTGCGCATTGTACCGTTTGACGCTAATACTTGACACCAAATCATGTACCCCATCTACTACCACAATGTTGAGAAAAAAGTAATCGAAAGCATCCATGTCGAGTTGAAAAAATAAGCGGAATTAGTATTTTCCTTTCCCAGATAGTGACCAACCGGTCGTTGTGGTATTGCATTTTCGAAGGGGGTGAGTCAGTCGTTGTTTGGAGGGGCAGGTGAACACATCTAAGCGCAGATATGGCGACTGAAAATCCGTACTTTAGCTACTATGTGGCGCAAATGGGGAGTGGGCCTCGCTTTACTGTGCAAGGCGGTTGTGGAAGGCTAGCGAACCTCGCTTGCAGTGCGTGGTCGTATTTGAAACCATGGCTCGGAAATGCAGGCGCTGAAGCAATAGGGGGCCGTTCACAAATTACGTCACGCATATGAAGGGGGGGAGGGGGTCTCTGCCCGCGTGACGGTCCTATCCTGAAAGCATTAGAAGGTTAGGTTAGCCGCGTGACGTGGGGGAGGGGGGGAGTCAAAACCGCCCGAAATTTGCGTGACGTAATTTGTGAACGGCCCCTAGGGTATTGGTCTAGAGCGCTGAGCGGATGTCGAAGAACAAAAACGGAAGGTGGAAAGGCGCCCGCGCCGTCACCCTCTCCTCCACAGAGGGCAGAGTGGGGGGAGAAGTGGAGGGCAGGCGGGGAGGAGTGCGGGCGCCTTTCCATCTTCCGTTTTTGTTCTTCTACTTCCGCTCAGCGCTCTAGACCAATACCCTATACGTACTGGAACCAACATTGTTCGCGACGTTATGACAAACTCGGGCGAGCCGATTCAAGATATTGCTAAACGACGCGGTCGCGAAGGTTTGTCGAACCTCGCGCGTCGAGCTGCAGACTCCTTGGCTGGAGGCGGTGAATGGGGAAAACGCAAGCGCTTCGCGCTGAAGCCACCCGGACGCCGTGGGAAGAGGATCGTTGCACCGACCGCTCCGCCGTACCGCCTCAACATTTCGCCTGCTCTTCGCGATCTATTTTCTCCAGCCTCGCCACGATAGGCGGAAGTCTTGTGCCGGGCATGATTAAACAACTCGATTTTTTCAAAAAGAAGCCGTTTCAAGCCTGCATTAAGCGACGCGACGTTGAAAAGCATAAGCTTTCGGCGCAAAGGGGGTCATACCCAGACGTCATTGAGTGGGTGTGTCCTGGACGGCCTTTGCATTTGCTCAACTTTAATGCGACCAAGATTCGCGCAGTCACTCATCAACGAGTAAAATCGACCGGCGCGGACTTGGGGCCTTGGGAGCTGACGACCACAAATATTCTGTCGTGGACTGCACCTTGTATAGCATGTTTGGACAAGCCAAAATATTCTTCAGCGCACTTTCAAGCGCATATCGATTGAATACTTGGTATTTCAGTGTGGTGGTGACAAATGGGAAGCTGAGATAGACATCATTTGCCTCGTCAACAACTAAACTACGTAA